GAATCTCAGCGTCGGTACCTCACGGCAGAGAGATTGACATGGACATGGACATGGCCCGGGAAGGGGGTGTGCGGTCAGGTCAATGGTGCTGCGTCCATGATGTTTTGTGACGAGGGACTCGAGCGTTGATGATGATGATGGTGTTTTGGTAGGAGGAAGATGCAGAAGCACAAGCACAAGCAACAAGAGAGAGGAGGAGAGAGTAAGGTAAGGTAGAGCAGAGCAGCAGCTGTAATTGCGGGCACATGGCACTGGGCAGAGAGAGGGACGGAAGTGCCGCAATCGTGGGTGGAGCGGCAGCTGTGGGGTACGTACTCGTTGGAGTATCAAGTCTCTCTTCTTCCATATCTCTCTCTTTCTACTATGCAGTAAGGTACTACTCCATAAGGTACTTCAAGCCTACCTTAGGTACTACGCAGTGCTCCATACTGCAAGTGAGAGGAACCTGGTCTTCACGGTTCATCCCCGATGCCCGCTCCACGCCACGCTCATAACGCGGCGATGCCCACAACGACGGCCCAACGACTGGGACCTTTTGAGGTGGATTATCTTTGGGTAGTGGAGCTGGAATGGAGCATTGGATCGTGCTCTCTTTTTTTCCATCTGCCCTTTGGCGGCCTAGCCCTGGGACTGGTACACTAATAGCATCTGGATTACTACGCAGTGGGTAACCGTGCCTTATGTAAGTGGACAGTACTTTGTGTCAAGTATCTATCAGAATATGGACTCGCTGTTAGGTTGTCTGCCATTGGGTTCTTTCCGCGTCGTCGTCACTTCTCTCGCCGTCTTTTTTCCGGCAGTATCTCGTTCTTTCCATCCTTGACTCTTGCATTCTGACTTCCTTCCCTCCCATCGCAGCTACACCCCGAGGTATTCTTCGGAGAAACTTGGAAAGAGGCATGTAAGTAATGTGGCACGGCCGGTACGTACTACGATACCTTAGCTCGCACATCCCGAGAATACCTCACTTTAGGCAAGGTAGGTGGTGGAGGTACCTGACCCTGCCCTTCTTGTGTACCTTAGCTCGAGGCACATTGTGAACGGCAAGATGATGCATGTCTGACTTCTGACTCTGTCAGGCTTGGTCAGCGGCTATGGCAGCGGCAGCAGTAACGGCAACGGCAGAGGCGGCGGCAGCAGCCACATCATTTCATCCCCTCCTGCCAAAACCTCATTGTGCATGGCTTGTCGTTGGACGTCGTGAAGATCCCTCCTTCTTTCCGCCTCCCATCTCGCAGTGTCTTTTCCCGAGAGCTGATACTGGTATGGGGAGCGGCAGCAGGGCATAACAACATGGGGGAAACCTACCTTACCTTAGTCTAAGATACATTTAGGTAGGGGGCTGCCGCCTGCCGATGCTGTGTAATTGGGCTTTCGATGTATCTTCAAAAATGCGGTGAACAAAACAGCCCTTGCTCTGCCGTGCATCGACTGCATTAAAACCCGCCCACTACCACACTGCGTCCACTCTGCATCCAGTACTATCCGAGGTACGTATCTTTTATATAGGTACTGCGTAGGCCACTTGCGCGTGTCGCCTCGTCCGCTACTGCATCTCTGCTCTAGCGCTACGTCTACTTGACGTCTCTCACTCTGCCCCTCTAAAACTGGGTAGCATTCGAGCAACACAGTGGACCTGGGAGGCGAATTGGGAAAATATGCTGCTTGCTGATTGGAATAAGAGAAGGTCAAAAGTCGTATCACGGGGTCGGGAAAGAGGGCGTGAGATACAGAGCAGAGTTGAGATTGGAAAATAAAATACAAAAGACGAACAGAAGAGGAAAAGAAGACGGAAAAACGTGTATCAAGCCGGGGTAGACCCGGTAGAGGAATGGTCCCCTTAGGTAATGTCTCAACCGACTCGTCCAAATCAGCGAATCTCAAGTCTCGTGCAATTAATTCCCTAGACTCAATTGTAGAAGCTAGTTCGACCACTCTGAACAGCGGCGGGGTAATTAGCCCCCATTTGACACTCGCACCCCATGTTCCCATGTTTTGTGACTCGAGGACCCTGAATTTGGGGCGAACTGGTGTCTCGTGATCTCTCTTCCCTCACTTCCCCATGTTCTACTATTGCCCTCCTCTCTTATTACACTCATCCCTAGGATACCGCGATACCTCACCATACCGATTCTAGGTATCCAAAACAACAACGGGCGGTGACCATCACAACACACGAGTGGCAATGCGCCTCGTCCGTGTTGCTGCTCCATTCCGTTTTATCGTGCCAAGTACCTACCATAGCCTCAAAAATACAGGTGACAGGATGGGTGCTGTCCCGTTCAAATGGTAAATTGCATCGAGCATCCCGGGTCACGGGTGGTCCCCAAAGCCCCAAACGTCTTCAGCCGTGCCTGCCGTCATCCAATCCGCAGCCCTCTAATTCCGTCCCCGGGCGACCCCTTCCTTCCTTCCTTCCTTCCTTCTTTCCTCCGAGTTTCCATTGTCCCCGTGACTTCCTCTCCTGTCCATACGGCAATACACAGTACGTACCATTCTGGATGTCTCCAATATCCCATGTCGAATTTCTCTTTCTCTTGCGCACCAGTCTTTTCCTCTCTGCCTCGTCAGCCCTGTCTGTTTTCATCGGCTACCCCTTGCATTAATCCCACCTCGAGGTTTCACTCTCGTCAACAACTGCCCTGCAACAAGAACATCATTGGTGACCCTGCTCTCCAAGACGACGACGACAACCATCAGTACTGCTGACCGTAACTCCCCGAACCAGCGTCAGCATTCGTCTGTCCCTGGCTCAAGTTTATACCCTCGTGGCCGACGCTGATGTCAATCAACTTGGAGCATGTTGGGCTGTTCTCGCTTCGCTTGTCATCTTCTTGCGCCCGTCGTCTTGTCCGTGCCTCTTCCCCCGGTCATTTGAGGCCACCGAGGGAGCATTCATCATCTTGTCCCATGGCACAGCCCGACTTCAAACATACACAACCAAGTTCAACTTCACTTGGGCACCGACTACGTCAAAGAGATGGATTCCTTACGATACCTCGTCTCAGAAACTCCGTGCGACTGTCAGAGTTGATAGAAACAGGGCATAGAGTCTTACCTGCAACATCAGGTCACTCGACGAATGCATGCCAGCACTTATCCGTCAGCATCTGGTTCTCGGAGCCGACCCCGACGGACCTCGTCGATCATCCCCCAATCCCTGCGCTCACGCCTCCCTGGCAACAAGGCGTAAATCTTCTGCCTGCTTGTCACTCCTCTACGGATACCCACCACGAGCAGCCAGCGAGGCCTAGCATACCCCTGCTGCGCCGATAAATGTTCCCCAAATTACATCAGTCGCTGACAAAAGCGTCCTGTTCCCGACTAATGACTGCTCGTCTTGTCCTCGTCTGCCAGCCACCGCCCCATTCATCGCTCGCAATTACTCCAGCTCAATAGTTGTCCTCTCCCACCCCGCTGTGGCCAGCCCCTCCAATACCACAGGAAACAATGCTCACGGGTCCAAACAAACCAGAAATGGAGGGGCACGAGGGGAAAGCGATGCGAGTCAACGTTAACCATGTTGCTGTTCGACATGACTGCAGCGTGGAGCAGCACCGCAAGTCCCAGATAGAAGCGGAATCCCATCGTGCTGGTTAAAAGTGGCTCGGTCTGAGGCGGATGACCAAGCGTCTGGCCGATAAGAAACATACATCAGGTTACAACGGCACCGCACGGTGCGGAGCTTCAGTCTCCAGATTCCAGTCACTCAGCGAGATTATCCTCCTCGGTGAGAGACCGACACCTTGGAGTTCGAATTATCGGTGCAACACTCGACAACAAGACTCCAGGATATACCTATCTTCTCCAAGAGGCACGTATGTACCTCCATACGACAGGCATCATCTCCCAGCGTGTCACTGCGACAAGCCATCAACACAGGGGGTTGTCACTCGCACCATCATCCCGACAAACTCACCGCGTCTTTTTCCGCCATACTACGTATTGCCTCGGTCGCCCAACCATGCTCCGATCAAGCTTTCCCATGCTCGCTTTTGTCGACCGGCCAAGGACCTCGGTGCGTCCAGCAGCCTAATTGCACGTCCCTTTCCGACACGCGACTGCTTCACCGACCTTCCCTTATTGTTCCTCACAGACCAGCGACCCAACGTTGCCCAAACTCAGCAGGGTATATGCCTTCTGTCCGGCTTTCGGAACCGCAACCTAGAATAACTGTCACTCACGGTCATCCCCGGGAGCTTCTTTTCTGGCCAGTGCCGTGGCCATCGTGATCATTGTTGATTGTGTCTTGAAAGAGACCATCTACTATGGAAACACGTCGTCTACGTCTTGAGTCACACACCAGATGACACCAGAATACCCGCCTGGTACACGTACTGGTCTCGAGTAGCACCGCCACGGCGATGTGTCGGGACCCCTACGGATAGAGGCGCCGCCTCCCATGCGCCAGTGCCAAGTTGAAATGCAGCACAAGCTGCAGATGAGACGCATACACGTAGGGCGGCTGCAAGCTAACAGCTGCGTCTCCTACGGGAATTCGGCGTAGATGTCCTAGTCGCCATGTGTTCGCTTGAAGTTTTGACTGCCAGCACTTTATCGTTGAACAGCGTCATAACCATGTATCGCATTCTAAGTCGCACCCGTCGCGCACCTATTCTTGTTAGCCTCAAACCACGCCTCCAACTGCGACGCGAGGCGCAAATCGAACCGAGCTTCTCCTATACGACGTGATACCGATTCATGGACATGGAGTATGGACACACGCACCGCCCCGCCGGGCAGCAGACATCCTCGCTAAATCCATCCATCTTGACACACATCGGCCCTTTCCAGAGGTTCATTGCTTGTGGTTACTCCCAGCCAAGCGAAGCGGCCTACCTGCGCCAATCAAGGGCCCGCTGATCAGGTCGCGATGCTGGATACACCTTCCACAATAGGCACTCGATCATGCATCCCGGAACTGTCCCGCGTGATGCTCATGATCCTCACCTTTACTGAGGCACTGCTTGTATATCCTCGACAATCGGGCAAACAAGTTCTCTCGGGGCTGTCTATCTCAGGGGCCGCTTCAAAGTTCAGCCCAATTCCCAGGCTCCTGGGCCACTCGCTGCTCAGCAAGTCGCAAACGCACGGGTCACCGGGGGTCGTATGTAGTCTTCCGTCGCCAGCCGGTTTGTCCTTGCAAAACGCTCATTAATACAGCAAGCCTCACCTTGGCTTCTCGACTGGGTTATGCTATGGTCCTGCTGCCTGATTTGCTTCTATCATCTCCCGGACAAGCCGCAGATGTCAAGCGGGAACCGGAAGCATTCACGCGGCGAAGCGGGCGTTCTCGCGCAAAGTCTAGCTGCAACCTGCCTCACCGATATCCAACTCCAAGACCGCGAAGCTACACTACAAACTTTCTTGATCAATAAGGCCGTGGTATGATCTCATTATCCAACATGCCAGGTAATAAGCTATCCGTTATTGGCCATCCAAGCCCGGCAAAGAGGCAGCAGTGTGTCCAGCGCCAGGGTAAAGGGAACCTCCTATCGGTCTATTCGCCATCCTAATTCTCAGACATGACCATGCGACTGAGGACACCCAGCGGAACGGTTCCCCGTATTCACCATCCCAGTGACATCAGCCGTGAAGTGGTCTTCTCCCGTTCGGGCTTTTGTCAATTTGCGAGCGTTGCTGTCGTTGGCTATATCTCACCGAAGTCTGCGATTTCTATGGTCTCGTAGCAATCCAGAACTCGCAACTCGCCACTTATCCAGAAGAGCCGGTGAATTTACTCGGAATTCCCGCAAATTGGGATAGAAGTTTGGTTGTACCTATCTTCCATGCATCTATCGCATAGTGTTCGCCACACCTACCGGCAACAACCGACCATCGTCCCGTGTCTCAACGGTCGATGGTTTGTCCCTGATAATTCCGATGATTTCTCCAACCTTGCCTTTTTGGAGACCGACGGCCAGCTCCCACCATCCTTCTTGCTTGCCAATAGGTATCATTGTCCGGCTCGGTTTTCCCCGTCAGTTCAGTCCACGGGCCGGGCCAGCCCGGCTTACGCACGGCGGTGATGGCGACGATCTTCCTCAAAGTGGCATGTCGGTTACATGTCTAGGGATGTCAGCAGCCATGGATCATGGTAGTGTTCCCGACGGTTATCACAACGGCTTTTGGAGCTAACATATCTCGCGCTCACACAAGTTTGAAGAGCGGCCATGATCGGGACGTAGGCAATAGGCGGTCGGCTTCTGCATGCCTAGGATTAGCGCAGCCGAAAGGCTGATAGGGCCACACATTATTGTTCCTCTGTCGCACTCTCGCTTCCTCTCGTGTGCCCAACCAAACAGACCTACGCACTAATCTTTGACTCATAGGAATCGAAAGGTACTGGATGGATGTCAGCAACGGACTGTCCCGTTGTACTCGGCCCGGGGTGCGGCGCTATAGCTCGAGGCCGATGTGAGGGTGCAGGACAGACCGGCACTTTTGCTGACCTTGGAAGCGTCCAGCCTATGATTTCGGTTCCCTAGCCACTTACACCGTACACATACAGGCTCGTAGGTGGGAATGTAGCAACCGAGGACACCTCGGATCCATGGATTCGCATCGTTCCAAGGAACCATTGCCGCTAAGGTCGATCTCGGTTCTGCAATTCTGCAGTTTGGGAAAATGCAGCATTATTCTGCAACGTTTCCCTCCTCTGGATCAATGTCATGGATGCAATCATCCCACTTTTCGGCAAATTTGTTGGTTCCCTCCCCCCACGCCATTTCGGGGGCGTCCGAGGGGCGGGTTCCCGTCCCCCGCAGAGGAGACCAGGCTTACTGCTTACCACGGTATCGGGACGGCGATATCAATTCAATCTCCACGGTGAGAGATAGCGCTAGTGATGAGGCGATAGCATTGCAGAATGGCGATGACCAATGTGTTTTCAACGTGATTGTTCATCGAGTTTGACACATCCCCACGCCGCCCTAGTCAAGTAATGCTATGTGGTGGATGGCGTGGTCAGGTGGGTAGATGTTTTGTCCTTCCTTTTCAGCTCAGCTTGGTGTCCTTGGAATCTTTGATAAGGTACTCTATCAGATTTTGTAAGCTGGTTCGCCTTTCTTTCGTCTTGGACTTGGGAATGGCGACTGCAAAACGCCAGCTGAGTGAGGTGAGGCACTTCCGCTCAAAGACGTAGCTTTTTTTTCCTGTGCCGGTTTTGCTATTGCTACCCTGGTCTTACAAGTCTCCGTCTTGTGACTCTGTTCCCTGGACCCCCGGACATGACCAATCATTCGGTGAGGAAAAACACTGTGATGATGTTATCCATGTCTTGTTACTCGGACTGGCTGGACGACGAGTCGGACGGGGGGGTTTTTTTTTTCTTACTTATACTTGCGAGGCAAAGAGGCGGCACGGAGGGACTAACGATGTGACCTTGCCCGGAAGGACGTGGTCGTATCGATTCTTCAGCAGTGAGACCCATCTTAGTTGATTTGGTTTGATTTGATATGATGTGGTGGTAAGAGGTTCCTACACATGAGGCTGTGCCAAGATTTTCTTTTGGGAGTTGGAAAGGTGGTAAGGCTTTTCTTTTCTTTTCTCACATCATCTTTGGGGGGGGGGGGGGGCTTCAGTATTCTGATGTGACGATGACGGTTCCTCCGTTGTGTGACGGAGGTGGGAGGTTGTATGCATACAGGCAGCAGTCTTACTTTCCAGCGTTTTGCGGGCGTTGGTTTTTCTTGTCATCATGTGAAATGTGAGTTGGACTAGGTGGTTTCTTTTTGGTGAGGCTTAGGGGGAGTTGTAGTAGGCCGTGAGCGAAGATGGTTCCCGGCCAGTGATGTGAAACTTTAGAGGAGGATAGATGACTGGGCATACGCACTCCAGTCCAGTCCGACCTTCCCATGGCTTGAAGCACCATCTCACTGACCGTATCAAACTAGCTGCGTTCAGCTCTATACCTTACCTTGAAACATTGAATATCAAGATATCTTCATTCCTTCCTGGACTTCGTGGTACGGTCGTCGTTTTGTGGTGGTAGGTTGCAGTGCGACGGAGCGAATTCCGAATTGCTGTAATCTTAAGCCAATAGCATCGGCTGTAGACGCGAAGCTGCTTATGCTGTCTTCCGTTATGGTGATGTGTGCGGTTGCGAGGGTTGTTGTCTGGTCTAGTTGCCAGACGAGTAAGTTTGAAACTTCTTGGACCCTGGGGACCTGAGGACGTATTGTCAGTCTTTTCCGGTTTGCTCTTTCCATATCGCCTGCTTCCAACATCCACATCTACATCCTCCCTATACACGTTAAGATACATGTACGCATTTTGTGCCGCCTGTCTCTGAATCTTTGGGGTAAAATGCATAATGATATGGAAAGGGAAAACTACCTTACCTTTAGCATCTCCCCCCGGACAAACTCCACGTCAACGCCCGCAGGCGCGCTCTCCATCAGGATCTGGCCTGCGCGCCGGCAGAGGGGCACAGCGGAGAGGGTGATTGTTAGGGCGATGAAGATGCCGATTGCCGGGTCGGCGTAGAGGCGGTTGGGGGAGGGAGATTTCCAGATGATGAGGGCGGCGATTATGACGGAGAGGTTGTTTAGGGCGTCGGTTAGGACGTGGAGGAGGACGCCTAGCATGTTGATGTTGAGGGGGTGGGTGTGGTTGTGGTGCTTGGGAGATGATGTTGTTGGTATAGGCGTATTGGTGGGCGAGAGGGGGTCTCTTGACTCCTCGGCGGGGTGTGTGGTTTCTCGGGTATGTTCCTGATGATGGGGTTCTGTGTCTTGAGTTCAGATTCGTTGTAGACGGCTTGGTTGAAGATTTTGCTGACCGTGGAGGAAACTTAGGACTATCATGTTGAGGCCGAGGCCGATGCAGCCCATGATCAGAATCAGTATTGGGTCTTTGAGGTCTGTGAATGTTTGTCAAAAGGTTTGAGCTCGTTACTATCGTTTGCCAAAGGCCAAGCCCGTCAGGACTGGCAGGCAAGAAAGGCCCAAAACTCACTTGGAAGTTGAGTGAATCTCTCAATCGCTTGGAGGAGGATGCTGACACCCAACGCAAGCAGAAACACGCCGTTGAAGAAGGCTCCCAGCACCTGGGCGCGATTCCAGCCAAAGGGTAGGGATTTAGGCGGAGGGGTTTTCCTCTCTGAGACCTTTTTGGTATATCAGTCTCCAGGCCAAGTACGGCTTGGTCAGGTTTTTAGAAGGAGGACTTACTACCAAAGCTATCAAGGCGACGGCGAACCCTATCAGGTCATTCATCTAGATCGTTTGTCAGATACACCGACTGAACTAACATTAAGAAATAGGGGGATTGGCTTTCGCCGTCTTACGTAGTGAAAGGCGTCTGCTATAAGAGCGAGAGACTTTGTGCGGTACCCGACGACCAGCTCTGCGATGAAGAAGCCGCCAGATATCGCTATTGCGGCGATTATACGGCGCTTTCTGTTGATCCTGAAGCGAGACATACTCGTCGGGCTTTTCCACGTTCGGGAGAAGTTATCGTGAAACCACTACCAAGATTTGATTTGAACTTCAACAAGGACAAAAAGGAGGAGGAAGCGTCGACATGCGTAAGGCGGATACTATTAAATCGCGCTATAGTCAAGATCTTTTTGTTTTCCATCAACGGAAGAGAGCTTTGGACAGCGGTCGTACGGCCACAAGAGACGACGGATGAGAGTCTCGTACAGCCGGGTCATTTCCCCAAGACTCGGGACACACACAGACACGAGAAAGGTGTCTCTGTCCCGGCCCGGGTTGGCACATACAGGCACGGGAAGGAAACGGAAGCACGGAAGTTGTTTCTGTTCTATAAACAAAGTTTGGGGCTGATGACTCGTAGGTTTTAGATATTACGCAACTTCGCCCGTTCCTACTGGGATCATGGAATATGTTTATTGAGACTTTTGGAGGAAGGCGAGTAGGAAGAAAGGTTGGTGGTTGACTTAGTGGCATCGATTCGGATAGCTGCGTTGTCACTGTGCGATGCACCTCCTTGGCGGTAATTAAAGGGGATCAGAGTGTTTGCTTCGGGGTGATTAAAGGTGTCACAAGTTGGTTGTCAGTTGCTCACGATGAACAAGATTCGTTGTATATCTGGATGGTGTTGAGTTGACGTGGCTGACTGCTTTAGTACGAGAGCGTGTGACGGTGAACCGAAAGAGGTCAGCGCGATCAAGACTTCTAAGGCAGCGAGGTCACATAAACAGAGTTGGGGAGTCTGGAAAGAGGCCATTCCTCGTAGTTTTGACTTATACTAATAGTCAAGTCAATTTCAAGTTTCTAAATACTGGATGAGTATTATTAGTTCAATTAACTTCTGATTTGAGAGTATTCTTGAAAATCACAAGCTGAGTCTGATACAGAAACGAAGTCCCTTCAAAAAGAATGCATTGTGCCGTGCGGCTAACACGATGACA